CCTTCTCCCTCCAGGAAAAGACAGGCCCCTGGCCTCGAGGGACGTTGCAGCTCTGCTGGAGCGACAAGGAAAGGGTGGAGACCGACCCCGCCCTCCCTCCCGCCCTCCCTCCCGCCCTCCCTCCCCTCCTTTCGGGTCGGGAGGGCTGAGGACACGCTGGGAAAGGGCTGAGAGGTCAAAGCGTCAATGGATGATGTATCTGGAGGGAAGAGGAAGGTAGGGAAAAGGGGCAGAGGCGTGAGCACCCGGAACCAGGACGGGAAGCAATGGACAGCATCGTCGCATGCACAAAACTGAGAAAAAGATTTAAAGTCGGACGTGCATACCCCTACATCCTATACAGTACTCCTCGTGTCCTACAAGAGGGAAATCGAGCAGAATGGGGAGGGAGAAGGTGCGCAGAGCGACGAGACTTTCCACCCATGTACCTTGCTGGTAATGGCTGGCAAAATTGTAGGAGAGAGAATCCTCCACCAAGTGGTGGAAGTGATGCATCTGGAAGACGGAAAGATGAGTAGAGACAATGGGGGAGAGGAGAGAGACATAGGCTGAGACTGACGGAGCCGTCATCCCTTGTGGTGGATCCCCAGAAGTAAACGTGGGCAAGATGGGTAACACATGACATTCTTCCGGTGACTAAAATTTGACGTCACCACTGGAATAGATTAAGACTTTGAGGGCTGAAATCATGGTGGAACCGAAGAGGGGAAGAGGAATGACGCACCTCCTGAGACAAAATCGGAGTATGTACACGACAAAAGTACGGGTGGAAGCTGCCTCCAAGCTGCTCGCTTCCTTTGTTGTAGGTTCTAGTCTTCTAAATATGAAACATTTGTACGTCTAACTTGTACCTGTCACCATGCAAAGAGTACAAAAAAGAGAAGGACTTGCCAGGTGAGGTACCTTGGGGCAGGACTGAATACATTGTCGTGTGCAGCAAATACGGACAGCATGCAAAAATGGAAGTGTTTTGCCCGTCGCATGTTGCTCTAGTCAAGGCCTGACATTGTGATGTGATGTATTCTTAGGGAAAGCGGTAGGTGTGGGGAGTGATGACGACGGACAGGCGAGGCGGGGTGTGCGTGCTAACGTGTTCTCGTCAATGTCCTTTTTCCGCTCCGCGATGCATTTGTGAAAGACTTACTAAAAACAAAATGTTATATAATTAAAACATCGCTTCTAAAACTCTGGAGCACGCATCCAGTGGTTTTGCGTTATATCGTAGGCCGTAGCTAGAAATAGTGGGTCGACGGAGCTTTCCAAAGGAAAGGAGGAAACGACGGGTGAAAAACAAGCCAGCCGTGGGTAACATACTCGCACATATCGATGCAAACAGTCACAACTAGGTAGACGTCATACACGTAGCAAGGCCCCGACCATCCTCAACACATTTCACCCTCAAAAGGTACGCCACGACATAAGCGGCGGGGGGGGGGGGGATGGGGAGGCTCTCAAGTAACCGTCAGCCGTTAAATTTCCATCGACCAATCAGAGCGCACGCAGGCCCTGATCGTCACATCCGGGTTGCTTTTGGGAGGGGCAGCCTGCTCTCCCGCCCGTTGGTCTTGCCTTTGGAGGTCTCTTCATGCATTGCAGTTTTGTGGGGGGCTATGACTGCTTGAGAAACAGCCTCGTTGGTGTTGAAAACCCATTTGCTGGGGTAATTTCCATCGTATTCAAGGAATTTTTACGGTTACGTAAGAGGTACATGGATGCGAACACTGGAGGCGCCACATATGACATGCAGATCTTGGCAGGTAAAGGTCAGATCGCCGATTTCCACCAATCTATATTGTGTCGATATTCTTAAGTAGAGGGAGTCCAACTCATGAGGAAAGGATGCAGAAATGACCTGATGAAGCGTGAAGATCTATGCTTTACCTCCTACACAGAGCAGGATCGATTACAGATTACCATATGAAGACACGATGTTCGACGTTAACGCCTTGATTAAAGACATACATTCACTCTGATCGAATGAATAGAGTCCCTCACTCACGTGTACTTCCCCAGGAGAAAAGTTGGCAAGGCAATAAATTCTCAACTTAGAAATTACTTTCCATGGCCCATAAAGACCACATTTGCACGTGAAATACGTCTCACCGGTACTGAGTGTCAGCTCTCTCTAACGTTGAACGCTGCTGTCAGTTCAATTGTAGCTACGATGACAAACCTTCTCCAAAGAGTCACGCCACTTTTCTCGCGGCTGGCGTTATCGCCTCTACTTATCTGTTGTGTTCCTCCCGTGTTCTTGTCGAGCTCGGTCCCAATTCGCCTCTAATATTTTATGACCGGGTAAGAAATCCCTACCGCACCCCATGCTACCGACCGACATCCAAATCCAATCGTTCACATATGGCGAGGCAGCCCCTTCTCCTTTCCCTTCCCCCCCTAGACCCAAATGCCAGTCTCACAGTCGCATGTCTCACGAGTCTTTGATCGAGTCATTGTCCCTTATATGAAATGCTTCGATGGGAAAATATTGCTCCCCGCATGCACCGATCGCCACGACGTGCCTCGTACCTGAAGAGGAACAGCAGGTTGCTTTCCTCCCGGGCACGGTTTCTCCCCTCCCCCTTGGATTGACCATATCGCTCCATTTTTCCCTTTCAGTCAAGTACAAGATACCGCCCTTGGACGTATAATAAACTCTCCACATGCATCCATCGTTTCCATTTTCAATCATTTCCTTCCCCTTCCCCTCCTCCATTTTTCAACCGTCGGTCACCGCCTCCTCAATCCTCCTCTTTAGTGGTACACAGAGACCCTCCCTCCCTCCCGCCCTCATCCCTCC